GAATTAAAAGAACAAATGGTGTTCACGACCAAGAGGTGACCGTGAACACAAACCAAAGCTCTTATTTGGGTGTAAACACTCCTAAATATCTTCACTTCTTATCCCATTTAGCTTCCCAATGAGATTAGATCCGTAAACCTCACATTCACCGCCTCATGAGTTCCTTCATATTTAAGTTACTTCCATATTTAAAGTGCAAATGAATTCATTTACACATTCAACAAACGTAAACACCTTCATTCTCTCTCATTTGCAAACCTTATTCCTTTCATATGCTCTCAAGTATCAAGCATATATCCAGTTAAACTTCAAACTTCAACACACCTTCAAGAACACATTTGTATCTGCATCCAAATACTTCCAACAAATTCGTAAGTTGCTATGAATTAGTTTAGTCTCTTAAAGATATTTAACCTATATATATACAACTAATCCATACATAATATTACTTGTATAATATTATTAGGATTCGTTTGTTAACACGTGTTCTAACCCGAGAATCGTCACTACCACCTCGTTATCACCCAAGAACACACATACAAGGTGAGTTCATACCCCTGCGTTTTTACTATTTTTCAGTGTTTTAGGGGGGTTACAAGTCTAACACAAGAATATTATGTTTACAAATAAATGATTTGTAAATATTTTTAAAATGACTTTAAATGTTTTATAAAGGGATACATACAGTAAAGTCCCAATATTTTCATCGATTTGACAAGAAAGTCCTAAACTTTATTTTTTTGACAGTAAAGTCCAAATTACCGGCAGTTTTTGACACTTTTACCCTTTTTTCCCGGTTAGCCGGTAATTAGGACTTTTTTGTCAAAAAAAAATAAAGTTTAGGACTTTCTTGTCAAATCGTCAATTAGACTTTACTGTAAAAAAAATAAAGTTTAGGACTTTCTTTTCAAGAAAGTCCTAAACTTTATTTTTTTGACAAAAAAGTCCTAACTACCGGCTAACCGGGAAAAAAGGGTAAAAGTGTCAAAAAAATGCCGGTAATTTGGACTTTACTGTCAAAAAAAATAAAATTTACGTCTTTCTTGTCAAATCGATGAAAATATTGGGACTTTAGTGTATATATCCCTTTTATAAACTCTTTTTAACTTATATTTATCCAAAATCATATATATATATATATATATATATATATATATATATATATATATATATATATATATATATATAAGATCTAAAGGGTTAGGACTAATAATTCACTTTATTTCCCTTTTCCTTGTTTGGATGTGGACTCAGCGTAGAATTATTTTTCCGAATGTCGTTTCATTTTTAATTCTATATATTATATATAGATATATATATATATATATATATATATATATATATATATATATATATATATATATATATATATATATATATATATATATATATAAATAAGTTATTTCAATCAGATTCATATTCCCTTTGTAACATGTCGAGCAAAGGGGATACTTTCATGAATATTACATATCAAGCAGAACACACATATAAATTATAATAGGTATAATTTATGGAACTCTCAAACTATTTTCACGAACCAGTTATACAAAGTTTAACAGATTTCTCTTGTACAAATACTTTACATTCAAGAATACTAGAGAAAGATCATACTATCAGTTCATCATTTGTTTCAAAGTGACTTTTCATCATTTTGTTATATACGTAATCGTCAATATGCTTTTTGTGAGACAATGTTCAGTTGCTTATTCATTTAGGCAATATAGTTAAAGTCCTGATATTATAAACACAATATTCCGACAGAGAGCGAGACAAATATGTATATATCTATACGGGATTGATAATCCCGCACTCAGACCGTTAGCTACAGTTGGGTTGGTATGCCTATGAGTGACAAATGCTGTTAACAATTCTGACGCCTACAAAGCGTCGTATCAGGCCAGCTACTCATAGTATGGTTATAATAACTCACCAAAAAGATATGATCAAATACGATTAGTGTAGAATTAAACCAAAGAGTACGAATACAAAGTACTGGTTTTACAATAATACGATTTACAGTATTACATTACAGTTTACAGCTGGTGGAGCCGGACATACTCACTTTTACAGGGTTTTCAAAGAGTACAATTACAGAACTTGGAAAACATAAACAATACAGAAAACATTCTTTTTATAGTTTTATAGTTTTATTGAATTAAAACTATGATACATTATTTTATAGTACAACAACCCTTTTACAGTACGGTTTTATGGTATTAAAACTACTTTTCAGTTATATAAGAATATATTGGATTTTCTGGAACAATAAACATGATTACTATTTCAAGAAACAAACAGAAAATTTCTAAACATAAATACTTATGCACTCACCAACTTAAATGTTGATACTCTCTTTTTCAAAACACTTGTATTCTCAGAGAACCAGTAAACAGGTATATCCCCGTGATTTTTGAGAAGACGGAGCAGTATAGAGTCATGTCTTCTATCTTTTTTTATATAACTTTTGATGTCATATATACAATGACTTAAACACTATGTAAAACATATACATTATTAATGCAATGGTTGTTGTACTTTGATTACTATGATACATGTGTTGTGATACTTAGCATGAAGTCATCCACCCCCGGACGTTTCTGCCGCTACCGTTTGGGGGTGTGACATCTAGACACACAACTAAAGATATGATTTGGCACAATATCGGACGATCCAAAGATGGTACAATGATTCATCCTCTTAATGGTACTTCATGGAAAAACTTCGATATGAAGTATCCTTTCTTCCCCAAGGAACCCCGAAACGTACGCTTAGGGCTTGTTGTTGATGGTTTTAATCCGTTTGGTGACATGTGTAATTCTCATAGCATGTGGCCCATCATACTCACCACTTACAATCTTCCACCATGGCTATGGATGAAAAAGTCCTCCGTCATGTTGACCTTGTTGATTGTTGACCCCAAAGCACCCGGGAAGGACTTAGATGTGTTCCTTAGGCCGTTGGTGGATGATTTAAGGCAGTTGTGGAGTTTTAGTGTACGTACAAAAGACGCAACAATATGTACATTCTTCAATATGAAAGTGATGTTTTTATGGAAAAAACGACTTTCCAGCTGGTAGTAGTTTATCCGGTTGGAGCGAACAAGGGTACAAAGCTTGTACGACTTGCAATGAAAACACTCCCTCATACCGAGTACCAAATAAATTTGTATATGTTGGTCATCATCGATTCTTAGATGCTGACCATCCATAAAGAAAAAGTTTGGAAAATAATGGCCAACACGAGACCAGAGACCTTCCAAGACAGTTTATTGAGGAAGAAATACAAGTGAAACACGTTCGTATTAAGAGAGATCATGAGGATTTCGAGTTGAATTGGTCTAAAAAGAGCATATTATTTGAAATTGAGTATTGGTCTTCTCTGGAGTTGAAGCATAACTTCGATCTTAATCATACTAAAAAATGTGTGTGAGAGCCTTTTGGGTACTTCTCTGATGAATGATAAGCCTAAAGACACATCAAATGCTTGGGCAGACTTGACAAAACCGAACATTTGAAAAAGTAAATGATTGAAAAAGAGTAATAAAAAAGTTCCTTAAACCCCATCAAATGCTCTTGCATTTTTTGACATTATGGCTCATTTAGTTTTGCATTGACCCGATGAAGATATTTGAGGAAGCCCAATATGTATGAGACGGATGTATCCCTTCAAAAGGTATATGAAAAAACTAAAAAACTATGTCAGAAACAAGGGGAGGCCAGAAGGTTCTATAACTTAGGGTTATGTCATTGAAGAGGCATTATCATTTTGTTCGATGTACCTTGAAGATGTCGAGACTCGATTCAATTGCCTCGAAAGAATCGAGGATATTGCCATAGAAGAAACAAATTTATGGGTGTTTCAGTCTATGTGTCAACCGGATAGCACAAAGAAAATAAAAAATCTCATTCTAAATGAGAGAACACATCTACAATGGTTTGTTCTTGATAATTGTGACGAAGTCAGAAAGTATATTGGGTAAGTGTTCTTATCTTTTTATTCATTGTTTGTTTTTTATTTCTCATTTTTTACTAAATCTATATATTTTTTTCATCAATGTAGTGAATTCAAATCATTACATCCTGAAAGTGATGAAAGAACCGAATTCCCTAAATGGTTCCTTCACAAGGTCTATGATATGCAAAAACAAAATCTCCAGAGTTGAAGGAGTTATCGGCCCTTTCAATTGGTGTGCATGCGAATGCCTTTACTTACACCGCTTGCATAGTGAATGGTGTTAGGTTTATGGTACTTATGCGTGACGCCCAACGATTAACACAAAACTCGGGGGTTCTAATTGAGGGAGAGAATAAGCATAATTATTATGCTAAGCTAGAAGAGATTATCGAGCTGCATTATCCTCATAATTATTCCACTATACTTTTTTGTTGCAAGTGGTTCGATACTGCAAGAGTTAAATCTGATAATAATTTCACCAATATCGACCAACAACGTGAATTGAGCAGCGAAGATCAACTCATATTTGCTAGGCAAGCCAAGCAAGTATTTTGCATCTGAGAACCTTCTCGAAGTGACGAAAATGACAACCAACGGTTGGTTGTTGAAAATGTTAATCATAGAAGAATTTGGGGTCTACCGATGAACGATGTCGACCATGATCCCATTGAAAATGTCGACAATGATTCAACCGATGTCGTTCTTAGTAACGATTCTTCTAATTTCACTCTTTCAATCGACTTTAGCAAGTACTTTCACAATTCCAAATCGTTTGAAGATGATATTGAAGTTGGTCCGCCAACTGGTATCATCAACAATGTGTCTGACTGCGAGACTGATTATGATGAGGAGGATTCCAATTATGATAGTGATGTGTGAGCAGAAATTGAAGTGTCTGAGGGCGAGAATGATTAAAAAAATTTACATTTGACTAGTAAAATAAGGTTTGTATTTGTTGTAATCATATCATATTGTATGTATATATATTCATCTTGTGTTATAATTTTTTAGGATGTCATTTTTTTTGTATTGCATTGCTCCATCTCATGGTTGCTGTGACGAGCCATGGAGGTGACAATGGTGACGAGCCACAACATCCGTTCCATGGAGGTTTTGGTGATCACCAGATCAATGGTAATTAAGATTTATTCTAATTCATTGTATTTCATATTGTATGTATATAAAAAATTATCTTGACTAATATTTTTTTATGCAGTGTTGGCTCTAAAACGAAGAGGCATGTCAGTAAATAAAAAATATAAAAGTTATTTGCAGCTAACAGCAAACGGCCTCTGAAGATAACATTTGACATAAGTACTCACATGGCGATTGGGAAAGTATACGAATGTTTCAATCGTGAGGTTGGGAGCTATATGTGGCGCGACATCGCTTTCGATAAGGACACATGGAAAGAAGTTTCTGAAACCGAAAGGTTTGGCATGTTCCAGTATATTTCAGTAAATTATTTATAAAGTTATATTTAATATGTTTAATTTTGATTTATTTTTAACTTCTCTATTTTTTTGTAGACATGGTTTGATTTTGGAGCGATTTCAAATGATCCCATGGCTTCATTTTATTGGGCGTCACTGAACAATCAGATATGTGCACGGTATAGAGGCCGCAAACATATTGCAGAAACTCGTTTTTACTGATTTTGAATGGGATGTGGAGGCAACAAGGGCTTGAGCCCCTGATGATATGGATCCGCAGCGTTGGAGTGATGCTATTGACCACTTCTTAACAGAGAAGCATAAAAAACGATCCGCTGAAAACAAAGAATGTCGGAAGAAGCAAGTAGTTAAGAATCGTGGAGGGACGTACAGCTACGATAGTGCTTGTTTTAATAATGTAAGTTATAATAATGTTAGGCAGTTATAACATATGTTTTAATGTTTATTCAAGTATAACATATTTTGTAATGTTAAACAGAATTTGAATAGACTTTAAGCATTTCTCCGTGGGCATGTCAATAAATAAGGGAAATTTGTTGATCCATTAGTTGAAGACCAATATGTAAGTTTTTATTACTGCAAAATGAAGTAGATTGTTTTTTGTGTTAGTTTTAAAGTATATTGACAATCTTCGTGAAATACATAATGCTTTAGTTATTGAGGTTGCTTTACAAACTCAGAACATAGCCGACTATAGTGGTTATCCAAACTCCATTGATTGGATCGCAATATTTGAGAAGGTTTTAGGTGCTCGAAGGGGGCATGTGAGTGACATTGGGCCTAAACCTCCTTCTGCAACGAGTACAAGTGCTCTATCCCAATGACAATGCACTTATTAAATTCTTAAAGAATTTGGTAGCTTTGTTAGATTGTTAAGAACTTGATGCATTTATAGTAATTTTCGGTAGTTTGATAGTTTGTTAAATTGTTAAAGACTGAATTGATTTGGTGGATTAATAGTTTGTTAAATTGTTAACAACCTAATTCATTTGGTGGTTTGATAGTTTGTTAAATTGTTAATCACTTAATGTGGTTGTGACTTAATTATAGGATGTAGATGCTGATGCTTTTCTTCAAAACCCGACGTTTATGACGACAATTGAAGATATTATCCGCTTGTTTAAGAAGTAAGTCAACAACAAGGAAAACAACGATAGGGAAGACGAAGACACATAATATTTCTTGTTTTATGTTATGGATGATGTTATTTTGGATTTATTAGATAGTTTATGGATGATATATTTGATGTTTATTTTGGATTTATTAGATAATTTATGTAATGTGGTATATTTGATGTTTTATGTAATGTGGTATGTATTGATTTATATTTTTATCAAATCTGGATTTTATAATATATAAACTAATATCATAAATAAATTGTTTAAAAAAACATTAGCAGCGACACCTTTAAAGACGACATTGACCAATTGCGACGACTCCTGCCTCCGGAACCCTTCCCGGAAAACCTCTGACCGGTAGCCGTAATATCAATAGAGAGGAAACCAATAGCGACGACGCATATTAGAGACGACGTCAATTGCAACAGGAGGTATCAATTGGGACGTTTTTTTGTCGTCGCTAAAGGTTATGTTTTTTGTTGTGATTATCGAACTATCTATTGCAAAACTCTGCTTAGAACGAAACATTCCTTACTTGTGAATATGCAGAGGATCACAAATTCTAAATGTAGCATGTGGAGGTACGCTTTACGAAGACATTGAGAAGGAAATAACTAAAAACTCTCCACAAGTGAAGAAAGTGAGCCATATCGATTATGAAAACTACGATGGACATAGACATGTAGTCAATATTGTGAAGAATACCCATTTGCATCAATGGTTTCACGATTCTCTTGCAGATGATCCCATGGCTTTTGCACTAGATGGATTGATTGAAGGGTTTTATGATCCTGACTCTTATAATCCTGAAGAGGGTAAGTTTATAATGGGATTACAGTTTCATCCTCTGCGAATGAGGAGATTAGCTTAAAATTCTTCAAACGAATTCGATTATCCTGGATGCCCTGCTGCTTATAAGGTGAATAGAATCATCTCTTTCTATGAACTTTTTTTTCAATCTTCTCCATTGTAGACTGAATTTTCCTTTGTTGGAAGGAATTTGTGAAGCTTAACAACATGTTGAAAGTAGAGAATTCTTTAAAGCTTGATAAAGATTTGGAGCAAAGAAGAAAGCTTATTGTTCATAGCTTCTCTCTTCCAAGAAACATATACACAACAGGTAGCAATTTTCATCCATCTAAAGAGTTTGATCTCAAACCAGGAGCAGAATTTCTTAAGGTTTATATGAACTAAACCACCATCACAAAAACACATATACTTCTATTCAATTAATCATGGAGTTTTTTAATTGATTTTAGTCTAACACAACGTTAATTAGTTTGCAACAATAGAGGTTGAAACAAACGGGATCAACATTAAGAAATTCATGTTCATACATGGAGAGAATGAAGCTAAATGAAGAAACAGAGAAGTTGGCGAGGGTTATGATGGTGAAAATGACAGTTGAACAGTTATCAGATTTAGCTTTATTCTATCACATGATGAAAAAGATAAGCTCAGAAGTGTTTGACAAAAAGCCTTAAGATTCTATGAGAATCTTGATCATTCCTAATTCAAACACTTTTTGATCTTATTATTTTTCAAGAATCTAAAAAAAGCTTCTGATTTACATGTCGGTCTTGTGAAGTATCTCATTAAATTTTATAGACTTATACTATTAATATATATTATACTTGATTGCTTAAAACCAAGGTTGTCAAGAGATTGAGATTTTATATATATAGGATCCTCTTTGTAAGATCGTGTTCATAAGATTGAAAGGGATCGTAATTAAGATCCTATCAAAAGAATTGTAAAAAGAAAAAAATACATATATAATATATTATTTAACGATAAACAATTTAAAAGTGGTATTCTTTCTATTAGCGCTAGAAAAAAAATATTAGAATCTTTTAAAAAAAAAAATAATGATCCTAGGATGTTACGACTCAACCCTAATGTGGTAACGCGATCTTACCGAAAAATGATCTTAATAAAAAATGATCTTAATAAGATAGGGATACATTTATCAAGATGAGATTATACGATACTACAATTAGAAACGCTTTTTAATACCTTTACTAAAAAACTATAAATATAATACAACAATATAAAAGCCAACGACTTTTGAAAAGTCAAAAGTCTACATCAAATCAACATATGAACAACTGGTAGGTATTTTATCCACAAGTCAACTTTATCCTATATTGATGATGACTCAAAAAACCAGCCAAGAATCCATCCATTTCTGGGAATTTCACAACCGAGATCCTCTTTAGTTCTCGATGATTCCAGAACATTTTATCCTAGTTTTTCTTACTTTTATTGTTCTTGGAGAATGTTCAACCAACACAGACGGATTCTCTGGTACCTGCAATGATTCGTTCAGTTGCGGAAATATTTCGGGATTTCGATTCCCATTCAGGAAGGAAAAGGATCCCACATACTGCGGATACCCTGGTTTTGAAGTAAACTGTAATGAACATAACCCACCTACCATCAACATCAAGAACATGACTTACCAGGTTAAAAGCATCGATCCAACGGTCCAGATTATGAAGATTGTTCGAGAAGATATGATCGAATCAATCTGTCCACAAGATCAAGTCAACACCACCATGGATTACAACCTTTTCAATTACAATTCCGGCTACATGAACATGAGCTTCCTTTTCGGGTGTCCGGATTCTTGGAACGGAATGGGAGGTAGGTTGGATTTGTGCGGTAACAATAGGGGTAAACCGGTCTTTTTGATACCCGGGGTACATGGGCCCGGCGATTGTGAAAGTAGTGTTGTGGTTCCGGTTCCGGTTGAGTTTGTCGACCCGAATACGTCGGGTCGGGTTGTCGGAAACGGGTTCGAGGTTAGGTGGAAGGTGGATGATGAGGTTTGCATTGGGTGCAGGCAGTCTAGCGGACAGTGCGTGTATGATAATGATACACGTTTGACCGCGTGTCGAGTTGGGACATCACCGTCAGCAGGTAAGAAACTATTTTGGATTTTGTTTTGATCATATGGACTATCCCAGACGACCGGCCAAAATGGCCTTGTCAATGCCTAGACAAAAATTGGTCCTGAAAAAGCTCCTGCGGACTCCTGGACCAGTCCATTTGGGTACAAAAATCCTGGTAAGGGACCAATTCTCCTAAAAGGAGTCCTAATAAAGTCCAAACTAGCGGTTAAGACTGGTCACTGGTATTCGATCTGAAATTTTTTGTTAGCTTTGGTCCTTTTGTGTATACCTCAATTCTAAAATCTAATAATATCATTACCTTTCAGAAATTAGATTTTTAGTTTACAAAAGGAATGCCAAAAAATCTGAATTCTGACATTTGCTGTTATAAATCTTTTGTTGAAATGTTTTCTATCAAAGTCAGCTAACATTGTAGCGAGCCATTGCTTCAAGATATACATCGATCCCTAGATACATAACCACAAATTAAACCATTCATTGTTCCTTGTAACAATGATGTGTGGTAAATCACGAGAACATACACATGAGGTGATCATCATAGATCAACTGTAATGTGTAGGTCTCTTGTTTCACAAAACCTAAGACTATTGCGATCATTGACTTATTACTTGGTTTGTCACAAAACTAAAAAAAGGAAAGAAAAGAAAATGTGTTTTAATACACCCCATGGCCAACACAAGTTGCTGCACCCATTAGAGCACGGTCGTATGCATTTGTAGTAAAAGTTTTTGTTGTAATAAATTTATAAACTATACTATCAATATTGAATTGAAAGTAAATTATTTGTATTTATGAGTAATGTTTATTTAGTATATAAAATAATATTACAAATAAAAGCCAATTAAATTAATAAAGTAAAAATTTATAAAATTAAACTCAACTGACCAAAACTGAAAACTCAAATTTTAGTTTTAACATGATTTTAGTGTAAATGAATAATATAACACCAAACTAAAATGGTGGTGGTGGAAAGGAAAGGTCTAAAAATGATAGAAAATGATTTGGTTTTTGATGTTGGGTTGGAGATGCCTTAATGCATTAATAGTAACAAATAGGAATATAATTTCAATGTTATTTCACTATGGGCTCGGACTTGGTACTTAGAGTCTCCTACATAATAATCCAAAAGTAAAACCTCTAAATTACTAAACATGTATAACTGATGCGAATGCGAAATGAGATTTGGCTGATAGATGCGAAAGGGCAAATGGATGCGAAAGGAGTATTGGATGCGAAGGTGGAATCGATTGCAAAAAGGATCGTTGCGACTGGATGCGATCGATCGCAGTCCATCGCGGTCTGAGATTTTTGAATGCAAACCATTTCGGAACATGACTAGTTGCGAACCACTTCAGAATGAATGCGAATCTCGGAACCTTGGATGCGAACCTTGGAATTCTAAGGGGTTTTTGCATGGAACTTGCATGGTGGTGGATGTCGGCTGGAATATTCTACAGACGCTTTTGGAGTTATTTTTAGCATTTATTTTGATGGTTCCTTTTTATTTAATATTTTCATTTTTTAGTTTCCTTTTATTTTATGAGCATTGTAACACTATAAATAGTTCTTTATGTCCAAACGTTTTGAGTATTGTTGAATGAAATTGAATTTTGAGAACTTTGTTCTTTTGAGTTGCGTACTCGCCCCTTTGTCAAGTCTAGAACGCGAATTCTAGTTTGATACGAATTCAAATCAATAAGTCTTGATTTGTTTTCATTGATACTTAATCTATAAGTCTAGATTGTTTATCAAAATCTATCTTTTCCTGTTTTTTTTTGTCGAATAAGTTATCATTGTTCTTCTGTTCTTGTTCTTGGTTCTTACTTTTCCGCTACAATTTTATATTCAGAAAATCCAAAAAGAAGTTAAGCCCTCCTACACGCATCAATAACTCTAGGCATCATGTATGTTAGAACATAATGTTACACCCTATCATGGTTATTCAGGAGCCTCATGGGAAATTCATATTAAAGTAACAACATCCAAGAGCCGTACAGTGGCCCCATTTGTCGTCACATTGAATACAAACGAGCTTCATTGTTTTGTAAAAATCACCTTTAATATTATAATCCTCGTATCATATGGTGTAGCTGTTGATTTAGTTTCCCCATTGTCATCATTAATTTCACCTACTGTTTACTTTCTCTACCAAACAGGGCCCAAAGGATCTGCGCTGAAGCTTATATTAGGTAACCACACAAACTTTCATGCATGCCAATCACACTGACATTAACGAAACATTTTAATTAGTATGAAACACAAGATGTAACTGTGTTTTCAGTGAAGCATTTTAGAAATTATGTCTAATTCTCTTTTGATATATTTAACCATAATGTAAAAATGTTGTGTGCAGGAATTTCATGTCTGATACTCATGCTGCTAATGATACTCTGTCAAAAAAAGAGGTTATGGGGAACTGTAGGTGCATTGCGCATGGTAAGAATCTCCACATTAATTTACATGTCATATTATTTGCTCCAAATTTCTCAAGTTCCAGTCCTAACCTAACGTTGCATTGGGTATGAACCACAGGGAACCACCAGGAATCATCAAATAGAAATGTTTATAAGAAACTATGGAACTATGACCCCAAAAAGATTCAAGTATTCAGAAATCAAGAAAATGACAAACTCATTTTCTGAAAAATTGGGGCAGGGTGGATATGGAAGTGTCTACAAGGGACAATTGCCAGATGGGCAACTAGTTGCAGTAAAGCTCTTGGGTAAAGCAATTGGAGCTGGAGAAGATTTCATTAACGAAGTCGCTAGTATCGGTAGAACTTCTCATGCCAACATAGTTACACTCTTGGGTTTTTGCTTTGAGGGGAATAAAAGAGCCCTCATGTATGAGTTTATGCCAAACGGGTCCTTGGATAAGTTTCTACGTGGCGATGGATCTCGCCTAGACTGGGACACATTATTTCAAATTGCAAAAGAGATTGCACGAGGCCTAGAGTACCTTCATCAACATTGTAACACAAGGATTGTGCACTTTGACATAAAGCCTCACAACATTCTATTGGACGAAGAATTTATCCCAAAAATATCAGATTTTGGGCTGGCTAAGTTGTGCAAGAGAAAGGAAACTATTGTATCTGTAACCGGTGCGAGAGGTACGGCCGGATACATGGCCCCTGAAGTATTTTTTAAGAGTTTTGGAGGGGCGTCTCACAAATCTGATGTGTATAGCTATGGAATGATGGTTCTTGAAATGACAGGTGCACGTAAAAAGTATAATTTTAACAACCAAAGCATGAGTGAAGCGTATTTTCCAGATTGTATATACGATAAAGTAGAAGGTGGAGATAATCTAGGGGTTGATGGGGTGACAACCGAAGAAGAAGATGAATTAGCTAGGAAGTTGGTGATGGTGAGCCTGTGGTGCATCCAGTCTGATCCATCGGATCGGCCATCTATAAGTAAAGTTATGGAAATGTTGGAAGGAAGCTTTCAATCAATACAAGTTCCTCCTAAAAGTTTCTGGTCATCTCCCCCAAGGCCTTCCCAAGCAACATCTCCATCGGTTAACCTGCACAGTTCAACCGGTGAGAGAGTATTAGCAATGCATGCTGCAGGGGTAGATCTCTTTTCTTAATGCTCATAGGGCCATGTAGCTTTACTGGACTAGCTCCTCAACCTTAATTTTTTAACGTGCTTCAAATTATGTTGGAAGAATTCTTTAGAAAATATTGTGTATAGCAGGAGAACTCAGCCAAAACAAACAATAAAAATTTGAATAAGAAAGAAGCAACAAACAATAAGACATTCATAAACGAGAGGTTAGTATGCCATATTGCCATCGTTGAAGCTTTTGAATAAGATAGTTTGTTTATAATCTTGTGATTTTTTAGTCATGAGATGAGGTTAATATATGCTTTGTTATGTATGTGATTCATATGATGATGAATATGATGCATTTGCATTGCAAGATTAAACCAAACAGGCCTTGAGCTTCACACTACTAGAAAATAGGCCTTTAATGACATGCATTGCATGTTATTAAAGAACACAGATGACATATAAATGTGTGTTAGTAAATTCCCCGTCATAAATTATTAGTACAGACATTTGTGTGTTCTATGTTTACGACATACACTTTTTTATGTCGTAGCTTTTGAGTTTTGAACTTTTTTTTTATAAACATTACATTCTTATAATAAATATATATTTTTAAATGTACTAATATTTAAAATAAATTACATTTGGTTATTTCATTACACAAAAGATATCATATATAGAAAGAAAGAAAATTCATTACATTCAATTGTCATACTATTTATAATTTGAAAAGGTGGAAGAAGAAGCTGACACATGATAGAAGAATTGATGTAACACCTGTCACAAGTAAGCCGATTCATTTAAGCAGTGAGTAAAAAATTTAAGGGAAAATGACATAAATGCCCTACGAACTTTTTAGGGTTTCTCTATTTAGTCTCTAAACTATTTTTGTGGCTTTATAGGGACATAAAGTAGCTGATGACCTGCTTTTTTAGTCACCTTCACCTAAAACAACCGGTATAGTATGTCACTAATACAATTGAAACACATGTGGCACCGAATCAGCGTTGATATGGCGATATATGGCTGCCTAGGTGTATTAGTTAACTTTTATTGAAATAATTACTTGTTAAAAGTTTAATAAAACTCATTCAAAAATCGGTGCAGTCATCTTCTTCATCATCCCTCATGGTGTAACCCACCTCCACCTCATTAACTGCCACACCTATCACCGCCTCATGGATTAAGCTTGAAGCATGTATCTGGTCCTGGACTTACAACCTAGATCTTTGTCTTTTCCTCGTTTAATTCATAAGTTTCAAAGTCTGAGATTTACATCCTTAAATCATGGCACAATTTTGTTTCCTGGTCTTTATATCTACCACTTGTCGCCTCTCCAGCTATCCCACAAGAATCAACATCGGTGGTGTTGTGCTTTGAAGAGTTGTACATTATCTTGCAGAGCAAGAGTTGATTGAAGATTGATGCAACGAAAGTAATATATGGCTTTTGATTGAGCAGCAATCACTCACGAACAAATTTCATGAGTTTACCCTCGAGTTATCGATGTTGATTGATATAATGACAAGTCATAATCTAAGCAAGGATGTTGAAGAATTAATCAATTTGAAGAGTTGTACACTATCTTGCAGAGCATCATAAACGATATATTGTAAAAATCAGATAGATTCAATAGCAAGATTGTTCCTCAAAAGACAAAACTCAAGGAGATCTTCACCGGAACTGAACACGACTGTAACACCCCAAGATTTTTCAAGTATTTCCGAATCCCTTCTTCTTTCATTAATGTCATTTGTAGTCCTTGAGGGTGGAAGTGTTGAGCCAACCCTAATATTTAGGGTTGGGGGCTATATAAACATCCTTATGGCTTATTTCCTCTCATCATTCTCAACCTCAATATCCCAGAAAATGTTCCAAACCCTAGTTTTGTGTGTGAGTGTGAGTTAGTGTGTGTTTTGAGCTCTTGAAGTTGAAGACATTACATCAAATAGTTGGAGAAGGAGAACAAGCTTGTAGATCTGAAGTTGTGTTGTGCCGTAGAAGCTACAGAAGGAAAAAAGCTTCAAAATTTATGCTTGTATGATATAGATCTAGCCATTTTAGCTTTATGGAACCATTTCTTGTCCCAAAAGTCCCCAAGTTGGTGCATGTTATGATTTGGACGAAATAAGTTGTCCTTTCAGACCCTAGAACAGGTCCTAAGTGATAAAAATGATGTCCCAATAGCTAAATGTGTCTCATGCATGGAGTAGGAAGGTCTTAATGGATTAAGACCATGTGTTAAGAACTTTCTGGACGTCCAAAGTGATAAAGTTCAAGACTTTCTGGTTCTAAGGCACTTTTGGTCGATGGATCTGGAGTTTGGGCTTAAGTGCTTAAGCCATTAAGCACTTATTAGGGTTTTGGAAAAACCCCGCGTACGTCCCGCGTAAATTCTATACGCCCAACGTACTGGGTCAACCACCCCGATGGTGGTCAACGCCAGGCAAAATACGCCCAGCGCACCAGAGGAGTGCGCCCCGCGTATGCCCTCTGATTGGGCTTTTGACAAATTAGGCTTCGGGATTAGGCTGTTTTTGGACTAATTGGACTTGGGCCTGTTTGGGCCTTCTAAATAATTGAAGGTGGGCCAGTTTTCATAAGGGATTCCTATGATAAGGCCCAATTAGGAAGATAGGCCCAAATGGGGAAACTTGGGCCATTAATGGGCCTTGGATATATGAGCTTTTAAGATCATGTATTTAGAAATTGGGCCTTGGCCCAATAAAGAGGAAAGACAAAATGGATTAGGTGGACCCTTAGTCAAGATTGATATTTCATGTATTGACATAATGTTTATTATTTGGATAGTTCGGGATTTTGGTGAGCCAACGATTCGGAGTTTGATTCTTCAGTTTAGAGATACATTGCGAGGCGAGTTGTCCTCACTATACTAAGGGGTCTAAGGCACCAAGGCCGGCCCATTGGAGTTGATATCCTAAGTAGTTATTGATATGTTGAGTATGTGTTATCTATGCATGCTAGTTGTTAAGCTAGAGGGTAGATCTGTAGGTCTACCTGTGTTACTACCTGATTATAGATATGTGCATTAATTCTGTTATATGTCAACATATTATGTGGGATGGGTTGAGGTTCTTAGCTCCGTGCGGTAACCAAAAAACCCTAGAGTATTCCAGATATGAGCTAAGGGCCGGGCGGGGCATGCCAGACTTATACTGAGGACTGAGGAGCATTCCAGATACAAGTTGAGGGTCGGGTAGGGCATGCCAGACTCGTAATGTGGGCTCAGGAGCATTCCAGAAACGAGCTGATGGTCGGGTAGGGCATACCAGACTCGTACGGTTGGCTTAATGGCAATCCAGATGTGAGCTGTGGGCCCGGAAGGCAAGCCAGACTCACACTGTGGGCCCAGGGGTAATCCAATCTGTAAAGCTATGGACCCAGTGCATGTTGTTATATGTATATGTGTTATTTTTACTGTATCGGTATTTTGGGGGAACTCACTAAGCTTTGGGCTTACAGTTTCAGTTTTTGTTTCATGTACATCAGATGATCGCGGTAAGGCAAAGGCGTGATCGTACAGCTCCTCACATTTTATGACTATGTTCTGGGATACTCTGATATAGAACTATTTTGAAAACAAATTTGTAATAACCGTTGGTTTCTAAATGTTTTTTAAAAGTTTAAATTTGGCTTGATTTTTATGGATGTTACAAGGACAACATAGGGTGGTGTGAACATTACAGGTCGTATTATGTGATTAGGAGTTTTGAGGATGAAATTTTCAATCTGTCGGAGCCCGTCGATCAGCCGGATTTTGGATATCTACTAAATGCTTTCGATGACGAACTGGGTCTGCCACCACCGACAGTCTCTCCATCGACTACTGATTTAGGTTTTCAATTTCATGTTCGTCGATCTTTATTTTAACCCAAACTAGTTATTTAGGTTTGCATTTTTTTGATGATTTTTTTAAAGATCCTAATCTTTTTTGAAGATTTTTTCTTGCAATTATAAGTAAGTTTTGTGTTATCTGCAGTAGTTTGTGAAGGAAGAGGAACGGGAGGCAGGGGAGGACCAGGAAAATGTTGTGGATTTGTGTAAGATCCAGGGAGGATGATTTATTGCATAGCTGAGTCAAAGGAAGTGGGGTCATAAGAAGTGCTTATGTGGCAAGGGTAACCAGTTTACCCTTTCAATTCTTCCAAAATGACCTAATCGACACGATAAAAATGAGTTTATGCCCTCATAAAACCACGAAAGTAGTTTAGGGACTAAATGAAGAAACCCTAAAATGTTCGTAGGGAATTTATGTTATTTTCCCAAAATTTAATTTTATAAAAACAAAGAATAGAGGTATAAATGGATTAATTGGTTATCTATATATAAATGCTTACATTTGTTGATGTGTGTGACAGTTAGTGGCTTACTGTTTTAGAAACTCATTGTACGCAAATATAGTTTTCATAAACTCGTCATTGCTAGCAGACCTATCAAAAGGTTGTTCAGATTTATTATCATGAAATAAGTCATTATAACACAATTTCGTTATATAACTAATAAAATTACCTTAAACCATTTTTCATCTTCCAAGATCTATGGAGAAAAACAGCATCTAGATATAAATCTTCACAGGTGGAATGAGTTATATGGCCTTCAAGTGGCTCCTGGTCTGCAATTTTCAGAGGTATGTGAATTGTAGCCTGTCATCTAAGGACCAAACTACTTAAAGTTCTTTCACACAACAAGAAATTGCACTAAAAGTATATAAATTTTTTTATCAAGCCAACTAATGGAAAGCATCGAACTTTCAACATGAGAAATGAACAGGTATTTACTAAGGCAATTTGGTGGTTGGTTCTTAATCGTTGTTGGTTCCAATTAATAATGTGAATGAGGTTGATGTGTACATTGGTGAAGCTGAACTACAAATATAAATTCTGGAAATTTAGAAAATTCTAAAAATGCGCCCAAAATTTGATCTCGATAATTCTTCTTATGTTTCTAAAAGAGAAACCTATCCTGTTCACATGATTCCATAGAAGCAGCACTGAAACTTGAAAGCACATGCTCTTG